AGAACCCTAATTCCGAAAATCCCAATTCCCAAACCCTAATTTCTCTACTTAAGCTTCTCTATGGCACTCAGAAAAGAAGAACAACATTTTTCATACAAAAGTTAAGTGCTGTAGTGCCAGAGAACTGTTTGTTGCAAGAAAAAAGGGGCTTTTGGAACCTGGTGTGGGCTAGAAGCGATAAGAATCACTAAGTGGAGTTCTTAGTGGATTGTGTGATGTGCCGTCTCTAGGGAAAGTTGTTCATCATCTCTTGTGGATTTCAAGAGAGGTGTTTTCTTATCTTTATCTTTTCAATTGTAATTTGCTTGTAACAACTTGATTATAGTGACAGCGTTAATCCTCTGTTTGAGTGATTAGCAACTGGACGTAGGGTCTTTTGATCCGAACCAGTATAAATTTCCTGTGTAAGATTCTCTTCTCTTCTCTATTTACATTTACACAATTTTTAATCGGTAAAATTTGGGGAAAATTTTGAAAACCTAATTTTTGTTAAGAAACCAATCCACCCCCCTCTTGGTTTTTGTCCGACCACGCGAACATTCCGCTGCGCGATTCTAATAGAAGCCTCCCTTTTAGCCCAAAGATAGCATGGAAACAAAATAATCCAAGACACTTTAATTGAAGTGGAAGATGAAACATAGATAAAACAAAATGTGAAAGAAGTTGTATGATAAACCTGTTTTTTTGAAAGAAAGGAGAAGAATTTAATGGATAGAATGGAGAAGAACATCTCCATAGTTGAGCAGTCCCATGCAATAGATAGTTGATGAGAATTTGGTTTAGGATACAAAGGGGATAAAAAGCCCTCCTTATACAAAAATAGAAAAAAAAAAATTTTTGTTACAATTGATTTTGTTATATTTGTACCTCAAAAGTCTACACCAATGAGAATTAACAATAAAATATTAGAGTCCGTATAGGTACCTAAGTATAACATAATTCCTACCTATCACATATTTTCTTAATAGTTGAATGTACATACCAATCATGATACCTAAATAGTGTGATTACTTGTAACAGATGACATGCATATGTTTTTAAACCTCGAGAAGAAAATGAAAGGAACGATCACCTTTGGTAGAAACCAAAAAGTATGAATAGTTGATGTTGGAAGTTAAGTACTTGTTTTTCATGTTATAATAATAATGTTTTACATATAAAAGGTCTTAAACATAACTTACACAACATAAGCCAATTATAAGATTGTGGGTACAATATTGTTTTAAACAAAGATTATGTATAGTTAGGGATACTCATGAGGATCTTCTTCTATGCTAAGAAACAAGGGGACTTATATAGGATTGAATTGGATAAATTATTAGCTCAAAAGGTCCCTTGTCTTGTGTTGATCAAAGAAGACCACTAGTTTTGGAAAATAATGTGCAAAAATGTTAGATTGAGGCTAATCTCAAAACTACAAAAACACAACCTTGTAAGAAAGTTGACAATTTTTTGAACCATGCATGAAAGACAAGCATGTTAAAAAGTCGTTCCAAGGTGAAAACATTGTTTCAACTTAAAATCTTCTTAATTTAGTGGCAAGAGGTATGGTCTAGTTATTGTAGATAATTATACTAGATGAACATGGGTAAAATTTTTATCCCACAAGAATTAGTCTTTTGATAACTTTCACAAATTCTATAAAAAGATTTAAAATGAAAAATGTGTCTATTGTCTGTATTTGAAGTGATCATGATGGAGAATTTGAAAAGGAAAAATTTTAACATTTCTGTAATGAAAATGAAATATACACTATATAAAAATGATTAGAAATTGTTAGAACCATGTTGAATTTTAATCCCACTTCAAAACATTTATGGGATGAGGTAGCATAAACTAGTATTTACAAAACAATATTTATATTGGGCTTATCCTTAAAAAGAGCCCTTATTAATTGTGGAAGGAGAGAAATCCAACATTTCTTATTTCAATCTTTTTAGTTGTTAATGTTTTATCTTAAACTCTAAGAAATTTTTTGGCAAGTTTAATAGTAATAATGATGAAGGAATCCAAGTTGGATACTTTGAAAGGTATAAGGCTTAAAGAGTCTAGAACTCAAGAATGTCCTATGTTGAAGAGGTCATTCACAGGTTCAATGATTATATAAGCTTCATAAAAGTTATCATGTCTAGATGAAGCCTTTGCAAATTTGCATATTAGTTAGAAGAAGGAAACATCATCTAACATGCTAGACTCATTAACAGAGATAACATGTTTACATTAACCATCAACTAATGAAGGATCATCTAGCTTATTCCATCCTCGGAAATTCAATTGAAAGGGTTAAAATCATATTATCATTCCTTTTAGGACAATCAACTTTCATCTCAAGCATTAAACCTAAGAAGATCAATAAAACACTAGACAACGTGCATTAAATTAAGGTTATGCAAAAACTGATCCACAACAAAAACTTTATACTTAAAGTAGTCAAGCTTGAGACAATTGATGGACTATTAGTTCATTTGACAATATCAACGCATCTCATGCTACTAAATCACGCTAGAACATCTATAAACTACATTAATTTGTCTTATGTAAAAGTCTATACAAGTTCGTCATGTACACTAGTTAGTTTGTTTAACATTTGAAAATCTAATCAACACAAACTCCAAGGAAGATATACTTATTCATAGTCAATGTTTAACTTTCGAGTAACTTAAAACTTGTGCAAAGCTACTCAGAGGTACTCTCCATTGTCGTTGACACTATTTTCAAACAGATGCACACAAGTCTTATTAGTTAGACTTAGTCATAACTTCATGTCTCATAATGACTATCTTTTCATGAAGGATATAAATAAAGATCATTCCATGCAAAATAGTAAGAACATAATCTTACTTGAACTTATACGTAGTGAAAATCTCTCTTTGAATATAGTTTTATTGTCTTAGATGTTTAAAAGAAATATTATTTACACATCCTTCATTTCATGAAGTATTTTCTCTTGAATATAGGAACTTGTTAGTATATATATATATATATATTTTTTTTAGATTTGTTATCATATCACTTTTTTTATCAAACCTTTATTTGTAATGCTTGAAGAGGTTTAATGTACTCATGGAAGTTGGGAGTAACTTTATGATTAAGAATCCTCTATCTATAACTCAGGGGAGTTAAAATTGTTTCTAAGCCAAAATTGTAAGTTAAGAACTTGTTTTTAATAAGTTTGAGTAGAATCCTTTGTTAGTTTTACAGGGAGAGTTGGATGCAGATTAGGAGTGAACTATAGAAAATTAAATATTTTATTTGTTTTTAAAGGAGAATTAAACTTTTATGCTTATACATTTATATAATTAATTTATTATAAATTTGTTTAAATTTTTATTTTAAAGTATTGCTAAAAACCTTTTTAAGACCATCAGACAAGTGTTATTAGATGTTCCCCTTTGCACCATTTGATTAGCCATTGCGAAAAGATTTCAAGATTTATTCAAATCTTCCCTTTCTAGTGTTAACCCAATTATTTAAGGTAATGTAAAAAGAGTGTGTATTTCCTTAACTCAATGAAAGTCAAAGAGATTTGTTAGTGGCAACATTGTGTCCTTTTTATAAGTCAAAAGTGATATTGTGTACTCATGTAAACTAAAAAGTGATAGGTTATAATATTTGTTTCAATATGGTGATTATAATAGAACCTTTTAACAATTTTTTGAAAGAGAACTAGATATGATTAAGTTGGAATAAACTAATATAGAAAGAAATGTTATCATATTCTTTCATAAATATAATTTATACATTTTATTTTATGCTGACTTGTTTTTATAGAGTTTTATAAAAATCGATTCAATCATATATGATTCTTTAAAAAAACTTGTGAAATAGTTTTAAATTTTATTCAATCCCCATTACTGAATTAAAGTATTTTCACCTACAACAAATATAAATAAGTTAAATAATCATTACTGAATTAAAGTATTCTTTCACTTACAACAAATATAAATAAGTTAAATAATAATTTAAAGGATAAAAGATTTATCACAAAATTTCAATAAAGTTTTGTCAGAACAATGATAAACCTTTTAAACAATTATATATATTCATAGGATATAACCATCTCAAGTTCAACATGGATCTTAATCTCAGCATGAACAAACAGGTGAAAGGATGATTGGTAAAGTATCCCAAAAGAAGGAGCTATATTTGTATTCCTCATAGAAGGAAAAACTAAAAATTCATAATATATATATATATATATATATATATATATATATATATATATATATATATATATATATATATATATATATATATATATATATATATATATATATATATATATATATATATATATATACCAAGTCAGAATCACGAGCCAACGTGCATTTTGTTTGTACCTTTTTAATTTTGGATGAGAAAATATGAGGAAAAGTAAGATTAAGTTAGGGAGATTTTTTAATTTTTAAAAACTAAAAAGCAAAAACAATTTTTAAAAATTGTTTTAATAAATTAGTTACTATTATTTTGAATTTTTAAAAATTAAAAACTATTTTTAAAAACAATAACCAAAAGAATCCTAGTATTGGTGAAATATACCTTTCGCTTTGCTGACCTTATTTTATTTTCTATTGGGTTACCGATTATCTCTTATTATATATCACGTGTGTAAGTTGTTAAAAACTTATAAGTATATTAGAAATAATAAAAATAATTAATATGACCAGTGTAATCAATTAATAATAATAAATATTATCATTTAATTAATAAAAATAGTTGTGAGTGAGATGTTTCTTTCAGTATAAATAATAACCCCATTTATAACATAAGGTACAAACTTTGTAACCAAAAACTATCCAAATTCTAAAGTGAACATAAAGGGCAACCACACTCGTTTTTCAACATTAGAAATTTCCATCAACACCACATGCTTTGCACTATATTACACACCAAATTAAACATAGTTCAGTTCTTAGAAAATCATAAAATTAATTTTACAGTGTCCCATCTTTTCTCTCTCCAACAAGAAAGAAAAAGGAAGGATGCTAAATGAGGAACTGCTACTGTTTATCACCCAGTTCTAGCACAAGGTTGTCCATAGATGGTCGAAGATGTGGGGATTCCAGGGTGCAAAGCAAAGCAACTCTTCTCAGCTTGGTGGCCTCTGATTCTGAGAACATCCCTTCAAGATTTTCATCAACTATATCTTTCAAACTAGCACTTTCTACCCATTGGCAATTTAACTGAGTCATACCACGTTTTCCAGTGAGAAGCTGGAATACAATCACTCCAAAGGCATACACATCACTCTTTTCGGTCAAACGACCAGTTTTCGTGTACTCTGGAGGCAGATATCCCATGGCTGCACTAGCTTTGAGGGCAGAAAAAACAACATCATCTTCAAGGAGCTTGTGCAATCCTGAATCTGCCAGTAATGCGTTATACCGAGCATCCAGAAGTATATTTTCAGCTGATATACTCTGGTGAACTATACCATCTTTGCTTCCTTTCTTCCTATGTAGATAACAGATACCTAGGTAACAATAAAATAAGTTCATTTTAATGTTTAGCTGAGATTTATTTGAAGAAAGAAGCTGAAGAAACACATACCTTTGGCAATACCACGAATGATGAACACTCTGGTGGACCAATCAAGTACCCTACCACTGTTTTTCTGAACATCAAGATACTGCAACAAACTCCCATTTGAGAGAGAGTCATAGATCAGAAAACATTCCCCGCGGCCTTTTGAACAGCAAAACCCTCTCAACCGAACTACATTTTCATGCCTCAACGAGGTCAATATCTTCAAACCTTTCAAAAACTCATCTTCATCAGATTTGCAACTTGTCTTGGCAATGCACTTTATAGCCACAACAGAACCATCCATCAAAACCCCCCGGTACACAGCTGAAAAACCATTCTTTCCCAATAAATTTACCTCTGAGAAGCTTTGAGTTGCGCGTTCTACTTCTTCAAGATTAAACATAAAGCTCTCCAGAACTTCCTGGGAATACCCACTTCGACCTTTGGCCAATGGGTCCCAACCGTCAGAATACTCCAAACTTACAAGAGGAGAAGCACTTTTGTGGCACACCTGCGTACTATGTCGGCTATCAGAACTTCCAATTTTCTGATTCTGACGACGGCGCCATAAGATCAAAAACAGTCCAGCAACAGTTGAAGCAACAATGACTCCAATGACGGAAAAAACCAAACCAATTTTTGAAGATTTCGATGTCCTTTTACAATGAACACTGCGACAGCTTTCAGGTTTTGGTTCAATTGATGCAGGAAGATCTTTGGTGGAAATATCAGCAGGTTCATATGGTTCGGGTCTAACAGGGTCTGAACTGCTTACTACTTTGCAAGAATCTAAATGAGCAAATCCAGTCCCACATAAATCAGGATTGTTCATGTACTGAAACCCATCTTTGAGTCGCTTTAGAGCTGCACAAAACAGAATTAAAAAATTATAAGTACAATGTTTACATTTTTATATCTATGAACATATCTATCAATATTCTAAGATCTTGTTTCAGATCATTTCAACTCGGAGCACCAATTATTTTTGTTATCAAACTCAAAATTATCCAATGGATTCAATTCAACTTTGTGTTGATAAAAAAATTTATTTTATTATTAATTTACTTTTAGAATAAAAACACGTTTAAAACACGTCCACAGAAATTGTTTTACTCCAAAATCAATTCTAACTTGTAAATAAAACCAAATTGTCAAAATCAATATTACAAAATACTTAATCTCGCACACCATTTAGCACAAGAAATCCAGGACCGAAGGTTGATTAATTACCTGGAGGGACACGGCCAGAGAGAGAATTGTTTCGAATATCCAGAGTCTCCAGTTTAGGTGAATTAGCCAATGTCACCGGAATTGGACCAAAAAGGCTGTTGAAGCTCAGATCCAATCGTGCCAATGTCCCCACTTCACCCAAACTCGCAGGAATAGCGCTATTTAATTGATTATATTGCAGTGCAACAACACTGAGCTTACTCAATCTTCCCAGTTCAGTAGGTATACTCCCACTAAATTTGTTATAACAAAGCTGCAAAACTGTAAGCTTTTAACAAATTAGATTAAAAAAGCAGAAATAAATGCAATACAAGTAGTTAATAAAAGTTCACCACCAAGAAACCAAATAAACACATTCATTAGGGTGGTGACTCTGATGACCAAAAACACCCAAATGGTCAAATGCAGTTGGAGGGGGCGACTTTGAGTACTGAAACAGTCCCCATCGATTAAGTTTCACGATCAAGATAGCAAAAGCAGAAAATAAAAATAGGAAATAAATGAAGTTCTAGAACGGTGTTTTATGTCGCGATATCATAAGGGTATAGAGATAAGGGGGTAAAGATGAGAAATTTGTAAGATTTTATAAGGAACCCACCTTGAAGGTTTGACATATTGCCAATCTCGCGAGGGATATCACCAGAGAGGTTATTGACATTGAGATACAAATCACTTAGCTCAGTCAAAGTGGCAATTTCGTTTGGAAGTATCCCGTTGAGGGCATTGAAGTGAAGGTAGAGACCCGTCAAGTTCTTGAGACCAGCTAAAGCATCAGGTAACCTTCCATAAAGACCCTTTCCTTGCAGTGAAATATTGGTAACGAGGCCTTGCTCATTGCAAGCCACACCCTCAAAAGAGGCATCACTACACGGGTCCGAATGGGGGGTCCATGAAAGCAACACGCGGTTCTCTGGGTCTAGGGAGTCTCTGATAGCCAAGAGAGTGTCTAGCTGGGTCATGGAGCTGGAAAAAGGTGGAGAAGAAGCCCATATGAGGAAGAGTAGCAGTTTCAGCCGGAGCATATGCATGATCAGTTCAAGGGAACTTCACTCCCTGGCGTGGCTGTTTATGCTCTGATGTTGGAGAGGGAGATATCTTAGCAGACTCAAAAGGAGAAGAAGCACGTGAAGTGAAGCAGATGAAACGGGGTGTGCTTGGACTTAGAAAATGTCAGAAGATGTCTGGTTTGAGCTCAGTTAGAATAAAATGTGACCGAGGTGAGGTGACAGAAAAACCTTGGAGCATGAGTCATGGGTGCATGGGAAAAGGTCCAAGTTTTCAATCTAGTAGCATTTCATTGATAGAGCTTTTCTTTATACGTGGATTTGTATAATTATAATTTAAGAAACCAGCACAAACATAATACCTGATATTATGTATAAATAATAATAACCAATCATGATATTATGGGAATGGATAGTAAATATCGTCACTTCAATCTTTTATCTCATGTATATTAAATTGAATTTAGTCTTTTAATTTTTAAGAATCAAATTAAATATATCTTTTATATTTTTTAAATATAAAATTTAATTTTAAAATATAATCTAAGTAAAATTTTATTACAAAAAATGAATATAAAAAAATTACTCTTTCTAAAAAACAAATTTAAATAAATTATACAATAAAATATAAATTTAAATAAATTAACTTTCTTAAAAATTAATTTAATTTAATAAATTCTAATAAAACATAAATATAAAATTAAGTTATAAATCATTTTTTCATAATTAATATTTTCTCACAAATAATTTTATGTTGATTACTTTACCTTTAAACAACATATGCATACAAATTATTTTTTTCATAAATTATAGATATCATAATATTTACACTTATTCTATTAAAAATTTATAATTAAAATATTCATACATATATCCATTTTGTATCCACCGACAGAGGCTTTTGTTGTCATTTCTAATTTCAACCCTTCCTCTCTTAGTGTCCCAAAATTAAGAGGCTCACACTATATACATATCCACAAACCATTGTTTAGTTTGGAAAGAAAAAAGTAAGATTTAGAATGTGTGATTTTGATCCCTAAAAAAGTTAAATTGAACATATGGTTCTTCAATTTAAAAAAAAAAAGGAATAATTTTACATATTTTATATTAGCAATGATCCAAAATTGTTTAGTTTTAAAAATTTAAAAACTAAGTGTATAATTTATTTTTTATATAGACTAAAAAAGAATATTTGTAAAATTATAGGAACTAAAAGTGAATTTAAATAAAAAATAATTAGAAGATTAATAAATAATATTGTTGTGATTGATAATGATTCATTTAGATACAAACAAATTAATTTTTTTCAAATTAGAGGTAATATTGTCATCCGTATATTACAATAAAAACTTCACCCTATACTACTCCTAATTTCACATGTGGACGAGGAATTTTGAAATTTCAATCAATTTAAAATATTAGAAATTTGACTTGGTTTTCTTTTAAGTTAAATTGATCCTCCACATTTTCAAAATGCTTTTATTTAGATAAATTGGTTCAAATTTCTTAAATTTCAAATTCTCAATTTAAGAAATATAATTTAAAAGCTTGTGCAGATAGATATATATCCTCAAAAAGTTGCATCCTAGGTTCATGTCATTTTGACTTCCTCTTCCTTGTAATGGAGGGTTAAAGGTTATTTTGATAAATTTGGTCCTTGGAACATTTTTTTATGACATTTTTTGTCCTTTACATACCTTTATACACATACCTAAGATAAAGTCTTTCATCCTCGACTACAATTCTTAATGATGGGATTCACAACCTTTATAATGTTAAAATATTTGGTCCAAAACTTTTGATATAAAACAATACTACTAACAATTTTTTCTCCTAGTTATCCTAGACAATTTCTTTTCACTTTTCTCTTTTCTTTTATCAAAATAAGAATATAATATCATTATATACCAATATAATTATCTTGGAGGATTTCTTAGAAAGATAAACAACACAAGTTAACAAGATCCTTTAATAAGATATTTATAACAACATTTAAATATTTTTAAGAGACATTTTAATTTATGAAAATGAGATTTAATTGATTAAAATAATTTTAAATATTTTTTATAAGTATTTTAATCGGTGAAAAAAAGGTTTAATTTATTAAAACAATTCCAAATATTTTTTAGAGGTATTTTAATTAATAAAAACGAGGTTTAATTTTTTAAAACTGCAATACAATAATGTTTTAATGTTTTTAATTGATTATTTCAAAGTTATATCAATTAAAAATTTGATATAAAGTTTTTTAAAGCTTCTTAAATGAATTTAATCGATTATTTAAAAAATGTAACGATTAAAATTGATAGAAAGTGTCTTCAATTTGTTTAAATGATTTTAATTGATTATTTTGAAAATGTATCAATTAAAATTGGGTCAAAAAGTATTTTTAAGTTGTTTAAGTGATTTTAATCGATTATTTCAAAAATATATTAATTAAAATTTTGATTGAAGAACATATTAATTAATTAAAATAATTTTTAACATATTAAAAATATTTTAGATATTTTATATTTTATAAAAGAAGAAACTCATATTTAATGAGAGGATAAATATTTATACTTACTCAATATAAATACAAATACACTAATAAATTAATACAATATTTTTTTTACTTGGTCAAATCTTTTAACAAATCTTTCAATTAACTTCTTCTTAAAATGATCAAATTATGTGATAGAAAATATAACGTTATTTTTATTGTAACAAATATATGATTAAAAACAAAATCATAACCCATGTTCAATGAGCTTTATTCATGTAGAATGTTGTTAAAATTGGGTTCATAGTGTTCTCCACAACAAACTTTAATGTGAACCAAGAGACGTGGATGATGAAGAAAATAAAGTGAATAAAGTAAGGAAAGACTCAAATCAGTGAAGCATGATGGGATTCGTGGGGCCTCTATAATGGAAAACACGCATTACTGAAACAGGAGGCTGTCCAGTCAGTTGATTCTGATTCATTGTTGGGTTCACGAGAGGCTGTCATTTTACCTATGAATCACATTCCTTAATTTCTGAATATCCCTCCTCCCTTTCTTTTAATTTTCTTTCAAACTCAGTCTAACTTTTTTACCCACTAAACCATAAACTTTCTAACAGATTGTTTAACTGAACAAATTTGCTGTTAAAACGTACAAATATAAATCATGAAAATTTATAAATTGATTTCTAAAACTTAATATTAAATTGATTATTTAAAAATACAAATTATTATTAAAATAAGTTTTAAATAATTTAAATTATCATAAAATAATATTATAAAAATTTATTACTAACTTTTTTATTAAAAAAATAACACCCCAATAAAAATTAAAAATATAAAATAAATTAAAAAAATATAAAATAGATAAAATATAATAAAATATCTATTATTTAAAATTGACATAGTTAATATAAAATAAAAAATTAAAATAAATGTATTTTTATAAAAAAAATTATATTAAAAAAAGTTTAATTTTTGATTTTTTTATTAAAAACGATTTACTTAAAAATTCAGATATTTTATTAATTTTTTATTTCATTAAAATTTATTTATTTAAAAATAACAACTAATTTCTAGATGGATTTGATTCAACCAGTGAATCTATAATATAATTGTTTCACTTTCTAGAAATTAAAGTAAAAATTTTATTCCTTTGTATTGTATAGTTAAACTAATATCACGTAGAGACAAGAATGATATCTAGTCAATTGTTTGAAGGTATTTTTCCTGGAAACATCACACGGCTCGTGTCATCAAAATTATTATTAAGTTTTTTTCGTAATATTAAATAAAAAATAAAATGTACCTGAAAGAAATGCCACATATATTGCATTCAAACCTTAAAACAAGTAGCATCACATGTTACGACCACTGTTCTCAAACTTCATCATATTGTATTCATTCAAACCTTTAAACAAGTAACATCATATCTTATGATCACTGTTGTCAAAACTTGATCTGTGTTATTTAAAAAAAAAAAACAATTTAAGTCAGTATAAAATTAAAAAAATGATATAAAATCTGTAAAATTGATTGAATTTTTGTTTAATTTGGTATAAAAAAATTTAAGATAATTTTTTAAAATATAATATTTATTATTATTTTTTATATAAAAATCATGTCAATTTTATTAAATAATAATTATTTTTATTATATTTTTATATTAATTTCGTAAGTATAAATATTTGACTATTACATTTATATTTTTAATTTTTATTAAAAATTAGGATAATAATGTTTATCATTTTAGATAATTTCATTGTTATTAATAAATTTATTATGTATTTATTATATTACTTAGACAGTTGGATTTTAAAATTATGGGTTATAACATTCATCTGTTTAGAGGTGCTAGGTTGCCGGCACACCGTTCGTCCGTTAATGTAAAATGGTCACATAAAAGTTATAATACCGTGAGAGATGCATTCTTATTCCATTAAAATAAAGTGGACACTAAAGTTATAATATAATAATGTAAAAAAAGACAAAGATATTTATTAATCAAACACATACTTGTATTAAAGAAAATAATATCCAATAAACAAACAGAAGAGTATTTATAACAACATTGTGAACATATATTTTCTAAATAAGAAAAATCTGGAGTAATTTGCTCTACTACCAATAAAAATTGAATAAAATCATCTTCTTTATAATTCATCGTTTTTTTTTCAATTTCACGATGTTTACAATTTTTTATTATATATATATTTATATATTTTTTTCTCTAAGGAGGTTTTTTTAAATAAAAACGTGATAAACAAATGCAGACACTACTTCAAACATAAAACTTAATCTCACATATTACGTTCTATTCTCGTCCTAGACGAAAACTTGTGGTTAAGTAACGCAGGGTTCTAAGTATACACTCACAGACACTAGTACTGTTGGATAATTTAAGAATGGAAGATGTTTTTGTGCGCAAACCAAAATGAATGATTTAAAATGTCTTGAAAGTGAGATTTGTAAATGTGTAGAACAATGTCCTTTTGTGATGACGAAGGTGGAATTTGGAGCTAGTGTTGGATGGATATGTC